CTCAGTCTGCAAGCTCCACAGGTGAGCACAGTGCTTCCAGTCAGATTTTCAGTGCCTTACTCTTAGCAAGACATTTGAGGAAGGCCTTTAAGGTGAGAACAGAGACCTCAAATAACTGAAAAAAAGCAACTTGGAGGGCCTTGGAACCTATGCAGGGGAGGAAAATTCCAATGAACTACTGTAGTATTCTCAGAGGGATAAGAGAAAATGTTACATCCAGGAAACAAGAACTGGCTGCTGTTACAAAGGAACTTTCAGAGAACAATAACAAGAAATAAAGAAATGAAAATCAGAGAACCTGGTCAGGAAGTCTAACATGAAAAACAGAAGTTTCAGGAAAAAAGAATAGAGAAAACAGAGGGGAGGAAATCATCAAAGAAAATGTTTTCATTTTAATTTTTATAACATGAGGGAAACACTTATATGCTGTTTGAAACTGCCCTTCTCTTAGTATTGCTACAGCAAAAACAAAACCTTAGTTTTTTTCTAAATGATCTGTGTCAATGCTTTTCCCTAGAGACAGTGAGTTTTTGTTGATAAATAGTAAATTTTTAAATTTTCTGTAGACATCTATATTAGAATTTTTCCTAAGGAGAATTTAGCATAAAAAGTACAAGTAGTTGGATGTAACTACCTTGTCTTATGGAAATGTTAAAAGCTGCAAACACATCTCATTTTTGAAAATGTTGCCTTTCTCTATATTGTTTAATGGATGCCAGATAAGACTCATTAGATACCAAGAAAATAAAATATGATCTACATTTATAAGCAAACACATAAAGCTATTTGAAGTTAAAATAAAAGTGTTGAAAAAGTGGCATAGATCACCCAGCCTAGTACCCTTGACAGAAGCTTCTGGAGAAGTTTGATGAAGAGGATGTAGTTTTCTTTCTATGATGTCAGTTTCAGATTCAAGGGCTGTCATCCTAATTCTTGAACTGTTAAAATCCAGATTAACCAGATCTGTTGGCACCACCGCTTAGAATCAGTGTGAGCTTGAACAAGTCATTTTGCCACTCCAGCTGTCAGTTTCTGATCTGTAAAATGAAGATAACATTAGAATTCTTTCGTTTCTCAAATATTTGCTCAGTGCCTTTTATGTGCCAAACACTTTACTAGGTGCTGGGGAAACATTGGTAGGTAAAATAGGCCTGTTCTCTTTCCTTGCTGAACCTACAATGTAATGAGGCAGGCAGATGATAATAATAGTAAATTCTTATTTTTTGAAAGCAGACACCTTCTTTTGTGAACACTTTCATTTAACAACAACAACCTTATGAGGTTACTTTGAGAAGTAAGCTTCTCTTTGAAATAACATCCTCATCTACGTGTTGGGTGTTTACTGGGTGATGAGAATTAGGGAGCATTATCTAGACGTGGTCCCTGCCGCTAAATGGATAGAAGAAGCCATTCCCTGCTCTCCCTACACAAAGCCCCTGGAGACACAGCTGTCTCTAGTGGGCCAAGCTGCAGCTCTGTTTGCCTTTGTGGCCCTTGGTGATTGTGAACCGGTTCTGAGGGGTGACGGATGACTCCAGATGCCCTATGAGCGGCTGCTGTCAACTTCTCTGTACCATAACAACTTGGCATTTGGTGTGCTTAAGTACTGACATTTTCTCCTCTTGTTTTTTAAAATTATTGTCAAGAAGATGAGTGAAAGTTGAATTTTGTTATACTGTGCTCTGTCTGCTGCTCCAACTAGTGAAAATCTTACCTGTTGAGCAGGTGGTTTCTGCTGAAAACCATCAAAAGGCAAAAGGATCAAAACTGAAGGATCCGAACACCAAGGAAATTTCAGTGGAAGATTGTATAGGAAAGTGGGTGGGAGTTTCCTTTACAAGGCTGAGAGGCCTTGTCAGTGGGCCTCCCTTCCTTCCATTGAAGAATGTTGAGAAAAATGGCATGTAAGTTTCCATCACTCATTCCCCTGCTTTTACTCCCATTTTTGTAATTGTCTTAACTTGATTTTTCTCACTGTCATTTTTTTGTGTAAAATTTTTTGTAACTTACTGCAAAAAGGAGCTGTTAAAATGACCTTTGGCATATGATGGATTGACTAGTTTAGTCCTCTGCAAGGTTTGTGAAGGGATCCAGCTGTCTCAGATTACCATGCCTAAATGTGCATTTTCCAAGGTTGTCAGTGATTGTAGTGAATGTGAAACTGGCAGACAAAGTGACGTGTTTTCCACTGAATGAGGCATTGTTGAGCTTGCTTTGTGCTCTCAGCTATCGTGAACAACCATGAGATTGACAAAACAAGTTGGAACAGGTGCTAGCAGTCCCAGCTAAGCATTTTATTATTTTGATGGATTTCGGACTGATTTTAAAGTTTTTACAACAGCACATGGCCAAATTCTGTATGCGCACAAACACACACAATTTGGACTTCAAAAAAACCATTAAATCAGCAAAGTCTTGATAGGAAGAATAAAGAAAGGAAGAGAAGACAAAGCAAGCATTTGACAAGCCATATTCAGATGTTTGAAGGACTGTCATTAGAGAAGAGGCGGGCTGCTGCTTTATGACTGATTGGCTGAACTTTCTGAAACTAAGAAACAAACAGAAAAAGCCCATAGTTTTCTATTCTATATAAAGAATACTTTTCTAATGGCTGGATCCCCTATACCCTTCCTACTCAACAGTGGCATCATTGCCTTTAGGGGTTAAAGTGCCCCATCCATGGGGGGCATTGAAGTAGTGACTGAATAACCACTTGTCTCAGATTTTTTTTTTAAAGAAGAAATACTTTGTAGAAGAGACAAGTATAAGGTTAGACAGGCTGCCATCATTTATTTGGTAACTCAGCAAATTTTTGTTGAGTGCCTATTATGTGGCAGATACTGTGCTGGTCCCTGGGGACATTGCCGTGAAGGAAACTGACAAAACCCCTGCTTTCACAGAGCCTATGTTTGAAAGAAAGGTGCTTGACAATAGTAACTTGTGGGACAGAAATAAACAGCATTGTGTGATGGGGGTAGCTGAGTGATGTGGAGTTACTTCTGAGTCGAGATCTAACAGATAAGAAGGAGCCAGTCTTCTAGTGACATCTGTCAACTCTAAAATTCTGTGTGAGTGTGATATTTGGGGAAGCGTTGCTACTACCTTTAAGATATCCAGTGGTAAAAACCACTAGAATTCTATCAATACTCAAATCCAGTGAGCTGGAATTGGCTTTAAAAATCCTCTCGATCCAAAAGTCCCATACACCCCTATGTTCACTGCAGCATTATTTACAATAGCCAAGGTGTGGAAGCAACCTAAATGCCCATCAACTGATGATTGGATGAAGAAGATATGGTGTATATATATACAATGGAATACTACTCAGCCATAAAAAAGATAAAATCGTCCCATTCACAACAACATGGATGGTCCTTGAAAGTATCATGTTAAGAGAAATAAGCCGGATAGAGAAAGACGAACTCTGTATGACTCCACTCATAAGTAGAAGTTAAACATAGAGACAAAGAGAATTGATTGGTGGTTACCAGGGGAAAGGGGGGGTGGGGGGAGGGCACAAAGGGTGAAGTGGTGCACCTACAACATGACTAACAGTAATGTACAAGTGAAATTCCACAAGGTTGTAGACTATCATAATCTTAATAAAAAGTTTTTTAAAAATCCTCTGGAATATCCTATGGACAATATTACATACTTTGGTTCTGAACTGGATAGTAATAACTTTAACATCTTTATAGTATTTATTTAGAAAAGTCTTTTACATACCTTGTCTTGTATTTAGAGACTAACATGCTTTTTAACCAGAAGAGAGACTTTATGACTTGTTACGTCAGATCCCTCCTCTTACCCGTGAGGAAGCTTGGGTCCAGAGAAGGGAGGGAATGTTTCCACACTTACAGCACTGTGCAGAAGAGAACTGGAATCGAGGACTTCTGGTGTGAAGTCTAGTGCTCTTTCCTCTATTCCTAGCTGTTGACATCTTCTTGCTCAGTGTCATTCTAACAAGAAGGGTGGCAGCATAACACTTTACGTGTACATAAGACTTAAAGCCTTTTGACATTCCTTATCTCATTCAAGCTTCTCCTCACTATGAGGGGAAATAACTGAAAAATCAGTAATGTAAGGCACCCAAGATTGTTCCAACGTATAAGCTTCAAAGCTCCCATTTTGCAAATAAGGAAACTGAGATCCAGAGAAATCAAAGGACTTTTCCCCAAAGGTTAAGTGACTGAACCAAGCAGCAGCAGTTAAGTGTCCTGACTCTGGATTAAAGTCTGCTTCTTCCATTATGCTGTAGAGAAGAAGTAGATCAAGTAGACTGAAAAAAGAAGAGGTAAATGATAAATGTAAATGGACAGGAAATTAGATAAAGGAAAAGACTGGTTTATTGTGACTCTGCTCTTTAGGCAAGACTGCTTTTCACAGGATTATTACCTACACTATTCCTATAGCTGGTTCAGTTTTACCATATTTCAAAGTGTACAATTGCCATTGTTTTTTAGAAACCAAGGCCTAGGTTTTTTTTTTTAAAAAAACATATAAATTAACCTAATCTCCAATATGTCTGCTATAACAGGAAGTGGGTAGGTGAGAATTCCATCTAATCAGTAAACGTTTATATAGTGCTGCCCTGTTGGCGGAAAGGATACAGACTTGGCTCTCAGGAGCTCCTTGACCAGTAGGGACAAAGAGAAGTAAAAGTGCAATGGAAGCATAGAGGCCTGAGCAGATGAGAGGGGCGGCTGATATCAATGTCAAAGCATTTCACTTATCTGTGACTGCTTAACAAACTACCCGACACTAGTGGCTTAAAATGACGACCATTTATTTACTCACAATTCTGTGGATCAGGAATCCTAGCAAGGCTCAACCATTCCATGTAGTATCCACAGTGGCCTCTAGTGAGGGTGAAGTCAGATGGTGTGTAAGAACGGAAGATCCAAGATGGCTTTGCCTGCATGCATGGTGGGGGTGGCCACTCCATCCGTCCTTCCGTCTGTCTCTCTCACTCGCTCGCTCTCTCTCATTCTTTCTCACAGGAGCAGCAACACCTACAGAGGCCAGAAGTGTGAGTGTGAGAATATTACTTGATTATGACTTCCTTGACCTTGAAATGTCTAGAAATAGAAGTGTAGATTAGGTTGAGCTTGATAGACTATACCCCAGTGTGCTGATGTTTTCTCAGGTACTCACAGCTGCATGACTCCAGTGAGCAGTTTGGAAATGGAGACGTCCCCAGTGCTAAGTCTCTAGGGATGGTGATCATGATTAAAGTCACCCACTGTCAGAGGACACAGGTCAGCATTACACAAACATTTTGAAAGGGTGTCATTTCTTAATTCTTACTATGAAGATTAAAATGGTTATCAAATTAAGCACATGAGATGATTTTGGAGACACTTAACTCTAATCTTTTCCCTTCTTGTGACCTTTTAGTCTTTAATAAGAAATAAGCCATCTAAATTAATCATAATGCTTAAATATGTGAGAGTGATTATTCTAAGCAGTGATGTGTAAGAGGGCCCTGTCAGTTAAGACTATCAACCCCGATACTGAAGAGTTTGTGTACTACGTTCATTAAAGTATTGTAGCGTAGAAACAACCAAGCCGTGTACCACCAGACTGACCAGGCTCTGGGAGACCTCACATCACCATCATGGGATCATCATAACCAACAAACGCTTATTATCTGCCTACTGCAAAATACTATTTCTCACATCACAGAGAATATATAAACGTTTATGACTTAGAGTTTACCCTTAAACAAGTTAGAACTAGCCAGGCATTACAGACACACAACGATGCAGAACACTAGGAACTGTCACCAGGTGGGATGTGATAGATGGCCAGGGAATGATACGGACAGGGACTGATGTGAATTTGGTCCTAAAATTGTCCTCTGGAACTAACTCCTGACAGAAGAGGAGGAACAATCTGAACCAAGTCCAGAAAGGATAGGGAGCTTGGACTTCCATCTATTCCTCTCTTACACCATCTCAGATTCCAGATGGGGAAATTACCCTCAGGATTGCATTTTGAGTTGTGCAAAAATTTGAAGAACACTTATTTTTGTATTAGAAAGGTAAAGTGTTTGCTTTCATCCGTCATGACTGGACTTTCTCTTTAATTCAGTCTCTCACTAAATTTCCTCTCAATGTGCAGAACACCATCGAAGAGACCTTTGCAGCTGTTTTTAAATGACTTTTAGAGATTTGGTTATATACCCAGATATTTTAATTAGCTTTGCTCTGATTAGAGCTACTGATAGAAATCACTTTGGAACAATGAGTGTCTTCAAAGCTACAAAAGTGGGTCTGTTTAAATGGAAGAGTTTTTTTCCTTTTTTTTTTTTAATCAGTTAGCTGCCTCATATTTACTATGGCCTAGTTGAAAAAATATATATAATTTAAACCATAGTATACAACCAAAAAATTATTCAGTCAGAGTTTTTAGTCTAATATAGATAGATTGATATATATACACACACACAAACACATATACATATATACACACATATAAACACACACACTCTTTTTTAAGAAAGTGATGCCGGTGAAATAGCCTAATGGGAGAGGAAGGAGAATTATGTGTTTCGAGACAGCAGGGTTAGAAAGACCAAGCAACATTTAAAGATTGAAAACAATAGCATTTAGCATGAAATCTGTTTTTTATCATCCTTACCCAGCCATTAGAATGAAGAAAGACAGTGTCCAGCTGTAGCAGTAGTTTGCTAGCAGGAGAATTAGAAGTAAAGGTACTAGTGCCTGAGGGGCGGGTCATGAATTAATAATTGCTATGTGGCGGATGAGCCCCGTCAGAAGAGCTGAAAATGAGGAAGTTGCCTTGCAGAGCACTATCAATCACTCAGTGACCATAACTTCCAGTAATTAGTGTATTTTATGGGCCTTTGCTTCAGTGGCTCGAAAGCACATATGCTCCAGTCAGAGCTAAACTTTGCCGGAGTAATATTCCGGGATGATTTATCCTCCTGCTGCACTGGGATATAACCCTATATTAGGTGAAGATTGTGAACTAAGCTGCAATAAAGTGTAAGTTTAGGTACAGTTTGCCCAGGTTGAGACCTCAATGTATCATGCTTTTCAGCATTTGTGGTTAGGCTACAGCAAGCAATCATTTTTAACAGTGAAACAAATAAAGCAATTAAAGGAACAGCATTAGGATATTGTACTGGTGAATTACTGTTGGCCTCTCCCTATTTAAGTGTCCACTGTAATGAGCCCATTTCTAATTTTAAAAAAAACTCTATTAGAAACATTTATTTGTAATGCTGTCCTTTCTCCACTATTATTAGTAATCTGTGGGATATAATGCAAGACCTTCTGAATGATGGGGAAGTGCTTGATTTCTTTGTGCTACTGTGTTTGGGCTCCTTAAGTTAAAATAAATTTTCTTTTTATCAGTGGACTATGGCGAGGATGAGGAATTCTTTTGTAAATAATGGCACCTGCTTAGAAGCACTCCTGATGGGAACCTCACATTTAGGCTCTTTCTACACAAAGAAAACGTTTTATTTGTGAGCTCTCAGAAGCACTTGGCGCTTTCTGTGCAGGTGTAATGAGTTGTTTGCAATGGTTCGCCCATTGCACTAGAAGTCTCTGGGGCTTCTGCAGACAGGGTCCTTTGCCATCGCCAAAACATCTGTATAGTCCAGAGTTCCTAGTAATTTAACAAGCTTTGTCACCAACCTACAGTGTAACCTTGGGCAAATTAATTAAGCTTCTGGTGCCTCCATTGGGTCATAATTCTGTTTGTGTTAAAGAAATCCTTAGAGTTTATAGGAAAGTGTTATGTGAAAAGAAGTATAAATTGAATAAGGAAAAGATATGCATGGTTTCACTGTGTTCTTTTTCGAATGAAATGTTTCTACACCACTTTTAATGATGGTGTCCTTGAATTTCCTCAAAAAGAGACCAGTGATAAGCTAATGTCACCAAGCTTGGGTGGAAAGGTGTATACAGTTTGATGTTTTTGTTACATTTATTATCCCATCTTTAATTTGCAATGTATTATAGTATCATGCAAGTTAAAACAATAATAGTAAAACAAACTAATTTTCTTTAATTAAAGTGAATTAGGTTTTGATTTTAATATATTTGATGTAGTGAAAACTGATAATGTGGAGGGTCCCAAAGGTTATTAGGGCATATTTCTGTTGGGCCTGATGGTGTTAGTAATAACCCTGTTCCTCGTAGTTCTAGACATGAACAAATATGTCACTTCATCAGTCTCTGTTACTCGCACTTCTGCCCCTCCGCAGGGGTTGCAGATTCCACAAGTTATCAGCTAATGGCGTTATACATTAAAAATTGAAGCTTTCCTCACTCCGAGGCCTTGCAAGGCTTTGTTCTTAAGCCCTAGACACTTTGGAGTGCAGCTGCAAACTATAGGCAGAAGATTAAATTAATTTGTAACCTTTTTTTTTGGTCCTGCATTACTAAATCCTCCACGTTTAATTGAAATCCTACTTCAAGACGCTTTCTGTTTCTGTGTTCTTTGTTGTCAGTTTAACCTCCGAAGCACTTTAACATTGGTAAATTGCTGTTATATCCTTTGGATTGTTTTTAAACCATTCAGTAAGAGGACAGTGAAATTGATACATGGGAAGAAAAGGAAAGTCGTAGGGTAGATTTTGAGGTATTTAATATTTATTATGGTTCTTCCAGCATAGTTTCAGATGATTTAAACTCTCTCTTTAGGACTGTGTAAATTGGTCTTGGGATGAAACCTCACCTAGGGAATTTTATGTAATCCAGTAGTTAAGTCTGATTTTTTAAAGTTTCCCTGTGTCTGAGTGTTCCAAAGTGGCTGCTGCATTTCTGTAAAACAAAGGTTTAACTGCAGTGCAGAATCCTTGCATGGAAATTTAATTGTGTAAAATGTGCACAAGGTAGTTAAGAACAAATTTTAGAACATTTCAGACTATAAAGTCCTCCTTCAGCTAGATCACTGCCTGTATTGAAAATGCTTATTTTCAATTTGCAGTTACGTCGAGAAACATAGAATATGTCAAAATTAAGACTAAAAAAACCCAGTGCTCTTCAGTATAACAGTAAATTTAAAACTATTCCCACATTGTTGCTATTCTCAGTAGGAGACCTGATCACCAAAAACATATCCTGCGTTTGTGTTCTGTACTTACCTTCTGGCTACAATGTATGTTATCTCTTTATCATTTATGATTGTGACAATAATAATAATAATCATGACTTGTTACCTTGTACCAGTCATGACAGAGGGGGCCGAGTAGATGTGTACATGTTCCCAAATCAACAGAAGCTATTGTTGTTTCTTTGTACATAGCTATCTTCTATCCTAACTTTTGTTAAAATATGAAGGTTTCTATCATGCAATTGTTCTATATTTGGTAATTGTTAGGATTACACCCCCACACACGTATAATTGTTATTTAGATTGTAAAATCCAACGTATTCAAATGCTGCTAAATCAAGAGTATTTCATAGATTATGGTTGGACAAATCCAAGATGACACTAAGCAACAGTTCTAGTTTTATAGTAAAATATTAGTAGTTCACTGTTATTTAAATGTATTCCCAACTGTAAATGTTTTCAGAGCTTTTTTTTTTGCCTTTTACATAGTAAATCGCTCACAGTAAACAGAGTATTAGCAGTTTGCTGAATCTTAAGTATTTGGAATTAAAATCCACTTTTTAAATTTAACGTTAAATAGAATCCTCTCCCTTCCTCATTTCTACCTCCACCCCCTGAAAAATAAATAAAGCTTTTCCAAATATTTCACAGTGTGAGCCGCTCCCCTCCTGGGGATGAAAAGGACGTGAGAGCCCTTTGATGAACTGTTGGCGTCTATGTGGGTCCACATCTTTCAATATATTTTTTTAAAAACTGGACTTAAGCTGCCTATATTTAAATGCTTCTTTTGTAAAGATGTTAAAGAGAGCAAAGATTTCTATTGGCTTAGCCCTAATCTGTTTGCTTTGTTGTGATTCTTTTTTTTCTCTTTAACTGTTAACCTATTTATAAATCTAAATCTACACACAAAGGTCGTTGGTTGGCTGAACTTAAACCATTTTAGTCAGTAAATTTAATTAAGAAAATACAGTGCAACTCATAAGCAAATGAGTTTTTTCCTAGTTTTAAACCAAACCACCCTCTTGAGTGCTGATTGCCTTGCCCGACCCCTGGTGATACAGAAACAGGCAAAATTAAAAAGGACATTAAAGCTTCATTAAATCTGAAACACATTTAGTACAGTGACATATCTGCAGGCCATTTCAGAGAAGATTACATACTCTCTTTTGTAAGTTTCCTAATTTATAATACCTTGACAATAAAAACTGGGGAAATGCAAGTAGATTAATAGACCAGTTGGGGTAAAAGATACAGAATGGCCCCAGGTCCAGCTGTCTCTGAAATATTCACTCATAGCATATGTGCTCCCTCTTCCCCATAAGGGTTCAGTGTTTATTTTGACTTTTGACAGCCTCATGAAGAACTTGTTCTTCATGCAGGCATATCTGCTACAAGCCCTTTTCCTTTTTAACCTTCTCCTAATTGAACTTGATAAAAGAGTTCTAGGCCCTGGCTATATATTTCCTTCTCTTTTGGCATAAGACAAAATAGTGTGGAACATAAACACTGCAGCTACATTAAACCTAGAAGGACAGGAACATACATGGAAGGCAGCTCCCTCTCGCGGGGCCTTAAAGTGACTGCTGTGGTGCCAGCCTAATAGTGCCACTGCCAGTTTTCACGGGTGCAGAATTGGAATCCTTGGCCTGCTGCTGGAGCAGCCCAGTGGTGACACTCTGTGTGAGAGAACATGATTATTTGACTGCTCTGGTCAAGGACAAGAAACCATTCTCTATCCTCTGACTCAAAAGAGGTCAGACATGCAAGATGTCTTAGAAGCAGTTCTCCCAGGACTATAGTTGACAGGCAGGCCTGAGATTCCACAGGATGTCAGGAAAGTACACACAAAGCAAAGCCAACCCCAGGAGTGGTGAGTTCACTAGTTCAAGCACTGCCACCTGCTCCCAGGCAGACTGGTACAGAGAGGCTCCAGTTGGCCAGCCTGTACTGAATTTCTCTCTGTTCTCTTGCATGGTGGTATCTTACAGAAGAAATGAATGATCAGCCACCCTTGTTACCTTGTACCAGTCATGACAGAGGGGGCCGAGTAGATGTGTACATGTTCCCAAGTCAGCTGTAGCCTGTCCTCTCTATAGAACAGTGATGACTTGAGAATTTGAGGCTTTGTGGTGAAGTGGGAAGATTCATATTTTTCACCTTATCCCACTCTTTTTTAAAACCTTCCATTTATCATTGCTTACTTCTTTAAACTGCAAGAACCAGTGGCCAGTGTTGGCACCCGCCAGCTAGTTTAGATCTTAAATATACTGTGGTAGACAAGTTTCTTCTGCTGGTAAGCCATGTGGACAGAATTCTTCCGTAGTCCTTAATGACATGTTGAACATGTACCCAATTGGATGGCAGAGCCCCTGTAGAGGCGCTTGAGATAGAATGTTCCAAATGCTTTTTAGTAGTTATTAAGCTGTTGGTTTTTATAGATGAGAGATCCTCCTCTTGGTAGTTTTCTAACTCCAAATGGAGGAATATGCAAAATTTGTAATCCGCAGATGAGTGTGATGATAGGTGACAGCTTTTGATGAGCTGTCACTGCCTGTCAGTTCAGTAGAGAATGGTGCAAACGCCTAGTCCACCCATTAGTGCCACAATAGACCACAGTAGCTCCTCCTGAATTGGTGTGCACACTCATTGGCCAGAAACACACTGTATTTTCAAAATGTGAGGCAAATTGATGGCACATATTGGGTGGGAGTGGAGTAGGGGCAGTGGAGAGCTGAATCCCTCCCCTTCCAAATAAATAACTGTTTATAGACAACAAACATAATCACACAACACCATAAAAGGGAGTTTGGTTAATATCCACACTCTCTTTCCTTCACCCTACGTTGTAATGTTTTACTATTTATATTTGAAGGGATTAATGATATCCACCAAATGAAATAACAATAGTATAACTTTATATCTTGAAAATCAATGACCTCTGAGTATTCAAGAAATGAGTGCAAGGTAATGAAACATACAAGGTTTTCCAAAACAGATATATATAACTATACATCCAAATGAGTGTTGCTTCTTTCAAAGTAGTCACCTTTCCTGGTCATGTGGTTTTTTTTCCTTTACATTGCTGTTGCTCAAACTGGTCTTACAACTTTGAAAATTAAACTCAGCACTTCATGTTTATCCTTAGTAAGGAACAAAACATTTATTCTTTGAAGGTGGCTTTGGGTTTTGGTCATACCTATAGGGCATTCAAACCTTAGTCAACAAATAATTTAGTGGAGCAAAAATCTGAGGAGTATAATTTTAAATCCAAGATACAATTCTAACAAAATGAAGTAGATGTTCTTCTCTTGCTTGAAATGATTCTGAATACAGTTCCAAAAGAGGAGTTCAGAAATGTTTGAGCAGTGTCAGTGTGTTTGAAATAAATGCACAACTTCTCAAAATCTAGAAAAGCAATGTAACAACACTGGAAAGAACAATGGATTAAGGTACAGATCTTGGGGTCAGTCGCTAGGCTTCTACTGATAAACTGTGTGGGAACTTCTTCATTGGGACTCTGAGGTTCTAATCTGTAAAATGGATTGATTCTTTCTTGGATCCATTCCAGCTTCAGAGTTCCCTGATGTAGTGATTCTGCTTTGAAAGTAGTTACAAATACGTGTAACGGATTTTAGCCCTGAGACTGGGCCACATTATGAAGTTGCAAAATTTTGCCGCTATTTACTTTAAATACGTTATGGTATGTTTGGTAAATTTGATCTCATTACTTTATATCAATCCTGTTCCTAGTTGAATCTTTTGTTTGTACAGTGAGAATCCAAAGGCCGAAATTAAGTAACTGGCCTAGAAACATAGCAGTTTACAAATCAAGCAAAATCAAAAGCTCTAAGGATTCACTTTCCCAATTTCAGACTTAAACTTATAGTTCTGACTTCTCAGTCTTAAAATTGCCGTTTACCCACTAGTAGTGTCTCTTTTCTTCTAACTATAGATAGAAAATGGATGAAAAAAACTAACAGATAAATGGAAATAATGGCAAAATTTTCTGTTTCATATGGCCCATTCCTCACTTCCTATAACCCTCCCTGTATACTTGTAACTGAAAACTCTACAGAGCTGTGGGCTAGGAACAGTTAGGTGTTCCCATTTTACAAGAGAAAAGCCAACAGTCTCCTTCCATTGTTTTATATCTCTGTCTAGAAGAAACTGTAGCTCACATGTAAATGTGAATAATGCCCATAGAGCTGAGAATATTCCTAAGAGAAACCACATAAGGACAATATTTAGTTGTTAAAATTAGAGTATTTTATTGGAGATGCAACACTGTCCATTGAAAATGTCCATTCTGAATTCAACTCTTAATGTAATTACAGCAGTAATTTAGTTCATGCATTCGAGGTTGTGAGCTTTTTATATTTGCTGGATACAGTTCTGAAATTTAGTACTTGTCTGTCTTAAGGAGATCTGCCCTGCATGCAAATCTATAACTAGACAAATATTATTTCCTTTCCCAGCTTGCTCTTGGGAGGTTTCCATATCCTCAGGTAAGATTGTTCATTACTGCCGTTTGCCACTGTGACATTCATTCCTATGTATGAAGGTGCAGGGAGCAATTGTGAACATTTGAGCCACATACAAATAAATCTGTCCTGTTAAATTGAAAAGTGATATCTTAAAGGAGTCATTTAGAAGTCTCTATTGATTTTTTATTTTTTTAAACTCCAGATTTTTTTCGTCTTTGTTAAAGGTTGAAAGCCATCATCGTGCTCTTCCTTTGTGTGACATTGGTGATGTTTTCCTTATCCTCACTCAGCACCATGTGCTCAGATTGAGGTTGAGGGAGAGGCACAGCCTGTTCTTGATACACTATTCGAGTGTTTGGATTTAATTAAAGTTATTTGAATTAAAGGATTGAGATGAATGGTAAAAATATCTAAATAGGTCATTATTTTTGCTAAGCAAGTAGACGGACCCCAAATTTTATGCAGGTGTGATTTTGAACATATTCCTTTCTAAAATTTTGCCTCTTCCTATCCACATTGCTAAGAAAACAAACCATTGTATTACTATTGCTGATGATAATCTTTATAATTTCTTTAATGTTTTTATTATAGAAGGATGCTAGCACTTAAAATATAAAGCTATTTTGTGATTTGAAAATGATTCCCCAGTGCGTGTGGGGAAATAAGTGAAATGTCTAGAGGGATGAAAAATGAATGGTTTGACTGTTTTCCTCTGGTTGATGCTCACTGTTTTTCTGGCATCTTGGTCTGTACAGGCCAAAGTGCCTGGAGGCATGTCTGATTTAAAGGTGGTGTTGGTCTCTGCTCTTTAAGCATCTATTAACTTGCTATTATTATGCAAATAAGTGTTGTATTACACATACTAATTTATGCATGGTTAGATTATGCAGATGCATCACAAACATGGTTATTGAATAATAGGATGGGGCTCGTTCTCTCCACCATCTTTATAAGCGATTTTAAGCAAATTCTCCTGGTACCCATGTGAGCATTTAAAGACCCTTCAAATACTGAAATGTCTCTTTTGTATCCTTTTTCTTTTACAGTTAGAGTCATCAGATAAATGGAAGAGAAATTCTCCAAGTTGTTAGGTTCAAGAATGTTAATCTCATTTTTCAAATTTTTAGGCTTCTTTGTTTAAACATTATCTTTTCCTTAAAGAGAAAATTCTAAAATGTAATCACTTGGCATGCATTCTAGCATTTAGTGAGATTTTAGTATATACAGCCTTGTTGCTTAGCTCTAGGTAGCCCATCAAATTAAAATCACATTTTCAGGATTTATAGCTCATTAGAATATTTATCTTGGTAAGCCTATTACTCTGTCAGTAATTTTTAAACAATTCACTATTTGGCCAATTTATGCAATCCCCTAAAATTTTGTAATTGAAGAGAAGAGACCCTGAATAATGTATCTCTCGAACAAGTCTTGGTAGAAAACTTGTAAGCCATCTAATAAAAATGCCAAAGATTGAGAATGTAGCTATATTCTTGAGATTCCTAATATTTAGAGTAATTAATCAGTGAGATTTGATAAGTGATAAGTCTAAGAAATGGATTGCCATTGCATTTGACAAGTGAAGCATTTGAAGGCTCTGGTCAGTTTGGGAAGAGACTGAATACCTTTGCAATATTGTTTTCTTGAGTGTCTAAGTATACATTTACTTGATCAGTCAGCTGGAGGTGGGAAAATCTAATGTGCTGAGCTCCCTAGTTAGCAATAATCTTTATGCCAGAGTCGGGGGAAAACTGTATTCCTTAAGTCATGATAGAATATTGTCATCAGATTGGGACATTTATTTCAAATAAAAGAAGCAGCTTTGATACCATCAGGCCTGTTTCCCAGATCTTTCAACAGAAGTTTGTGTACTTTGTTGCTAGAATCAATAATGACTTTTGGTGGAGTTGGCGTTTATTTTACAGGCTTTGTTCTATAGACTGAAGATTAGGAAAGAATACTTGATAAATTCTTTTCCTGACCCTCCCTTTTGCCCTCAAATAAAGCACAAAAGAAGAATGTTTATTTTTATAGTATCACAGAAATTGGATTATGAGATAATACCTTCTCTTTGGCCCATATTATCTTATTTGAACCCCCAACCACTCTGTGCGATGGCCTCCCTTCATAAATTGGGCAAACAGAATGGCTGATTGGCTCGTTGTTGAACTGCAGCTGGTTTGGTGCCATTGAATCCCAAATGGAGTAGGCAAGAGTGAATCACAGACTCTCAGGATTGGAAGGGATCTCAGACATCGTTGAATCAAACCTGTCTACAATATCAGAAAGCAAACATCTACACTCTACTTGAACACCTCCAGTGGTAGGAAACTCACTACTTTGTAAAGCAGCCATAGAATCAAAACAGTGTTCTATTTACCGAACTGAGGACTGCCTCATCCCAATTGTCATCCGGGGGTCTGGTCCTTGAACACATGAGCCTTTCGTATATCCTTAAGATTACATAGATTTGAATCCCTTCTGTACTCAAGACTGGGGACAGTGCCAGGGCATTGCTGCTCTGAACTCTAAGTCAAATCAGGGCACCAGATCTGGGTACGCTTCACTGATACCAAGTTGAGAAGAAGGGTGGAGTGTTGGAAAGAGCTCTGGACCAGGAGCCAGAAGATAGGAATTAGAACTCAGCTCTACCACAAACTCTCTGGTCACCACAGGCCTTAATTCTTCTTTGTTAACTCTTTGAGGCTTCAGTTTCCTTGTCTCTAAAATGAGGTTCTTAATACCTATCTTTCCCATTGGAGAAGAGGAAGTATACAGATCAAATAAGATTGTGGATATGAAACCACTCAGGAAAGTACCAAGGGCCACCCTACTGATCCTGATGTTGGGCTGTAACACAAAATAAAATTTCTAATCGCCAACTGAAGGTTGCAAAAGGATGTGCTCAGCAATCTGCCAGCTGCAACTGGAGCAGAGTGTAAAATGAGCAGAGGGGAAAGTGAGGAGGAGAGGCTAGCTTCAAGACTTGTTCTTCCCCAAACCCGCCATCAGTGCTGCTGACAGCGTCATTAGCAGCACCTCTTCTTGCCGGTGACATACTGTGTTATCAGGTGGGGACGCAGATGAAGGAGGGGTATTGGGAAGATATCAGGGAGAGTCAGTGGCCTGGGTCCAACATAAAAGTTAAAGGACTAGTTTTTTTGAAATAATCATTCTATATGAATGTCATTGTTTTGTGGGTTGGTTTTTTATTTATTTTAAAATACTATTTTCGTTTCCTTTAGACCTTAAGTTTGCATAGCCTCATTGGCATACGGTTTAGGACTCGATAGAAAAAATTGTTAAGAGCCACTAAAAATGCACAGTCTATTACTGCAGCTAATAATAGGAAGAGCAATGATGTCTTGGATTCGTCTAGCACCTTTCTGACATCGAGCTCCAGAGTGCTTTCTGTTGTCTGACTCAGGCTGTACGTCCCACCTGCAGGGACTATTATTCCCAGCCTCCAGGTGAGCAGACTGAGTCTCAGAGAGGCGAGGCATCTTGCTTCAGGGATAAAGGGGTACAGTTAGGTCTTGGACTGGCTCTGTGTACTCTGAATTTGGTTAGCCATTCATACCACTGCTCTTCTTTACCCTCAGCCCCACCAAGCCCTTCTCCTGGTTTGCCTTCTCTGCCCTAGGGAGGCCTCTTGTGTAGATGAGAAATGCTGAACATTGGGGGGTTGTGCCATTGCAGATGATGACAAGACCCCTCCCTAGAGCCCTTTTGCTCTTCTTAACATGTCTTTAGCAGAGTGACAGGGGGATCTGGAGAGCCCCTGAGCTCTCACTGACCCCAGTGACATTAAATTCTGGGTGCCTCTGAAGCATATTATATTCTACAATATGATAATGAAAAAATTATGTTTTTAAACATCTTGCAAACAATATCTCAATTTCTTGAACAATTTAGCTTTAATAATAATCTGGAAAGATGTGCAGGTCTGGACAAGGACTGGAGCTATGTGTAGTTAATCATGTAGATACAAATTCAGTTGATTTAAAAAACATGATGGTGGGCAATGGTTTGTTTAATGACACCATAATTTAGGAGAAATGAAAAAGATTGCCTGCTAAAAATTGTCATCCTTCATTCAAACTTTACAATAGTGCCCTGCATTAGGATGTTAGTAAAACCATTAAGGAGACTTCTCAGGGGATGTGCCAACTCTAGCATTTGGAAATTTGGTAAGCAACATGCCACAGGAAAGTGAAGATATTACAGATACAAATGTATTTAAAGTACTTTTCCATGTATAAAAATGTTGTTCTTCTTTTGGCTACAATTCCTGATCTTGGTTAATAAATTACATCAAAATGACCTGAAGTTAG